TAGCTATGGGCTGAAGCCGAGTGACGGTAGGTGTGACTATGATGACCGGCCCAGACGTTCGTACGTCCAAAAATTTTCCCACCTCTCTATCATCAATCAAATGTCAAACACGTCGTCAATTAACATATATGGACACGAATCCGGCTACTAAGCGAACGTCTGGGTATCCGAGACTAGGTATTTGTGCCGATCTTGTCGACAGACTTGTATGGAACCTAATGACCCTATCTGAGGCTATTGGGAACATTCGTCAACTGATCCTTGAACGATCGGCGCCTAAAGCATTGGATTGGCGCCGGGGGGAGTCTTATCGACATCATCCACATGATCAGGATGCGGAGACTTCTCAACTGCGTGTTTCGCACAATGCGGGATAGTATCCAAGCCCCACGAGAAGCTTAAATACATTCACTCTGTGCCTGCAACGGATTGCTCCCCCCCAAAAAAAATCACACAGCGACCGAGCAACAAACCATGTGGGGTGACGGCGACTCCGATGACTTTAGGACTCCAATCATTTAGTTTTCGTTTGTGGCAATTTTAAATTAAATGAAAACTATTAATAAACGTTTAAAAATGGTTTAAATCATTTACAAATGATTCTATAGAAGGATAATTTTCTGAGCAGACATTGAGGACAAAAATTAGAGTAATTTTCCTGTAAGACCAAATCATATTACCAGACAATATTAATTCTTAAGATATTATATTTCAAGATAGCTACATTACTAAGATTAGGCAATAATAGTATTATCTAGGAATTGAAAATATGCTGAAAATAAAAACTGCAATATACAAGGTGTTAACACAACAACTCAGGTGTCATACTAACTATAATGAGGTATTGACTGCTTTGATCCACAACAAGGGTTACATTACTGATGACTAATTTCCACCTGCTAGAGTCTTCTTAGTGAATACAGGTATTGTACAGGGTCTAATGAGCAAGATACTGCTTAGAGTCACTATAAGTCTTAGGGTTTTACCATGTTATTAAGCCCCAACCCCAGAAAAGATGCTCAAAGTGAGTATCTCACAGGATTAATGTTTGAATCATTTATTTTTATTTGTTTATTGTTTGCCAATCAGTCAAACAAAATGATTATTTAAACATTTATTATCGTTTACAAATGATTTCAAACTAAAATGATTGGAGTCCTAGATGACTTTGACCGTGACTTTGGTGGAGGCTTCCCGGAATTCACCGACGATGAACTAGCATTGACAGTAAACCTGCTCTTTCCCTACCAAGACCTCGAGGATCAGCTTGCAGATATAACCAACCCCAATATCAATCAGGGAATCCAGCATGCAACCCTCAACCAACCCCAGTGGCAGCTTCATTATGCAGGGATCGACTACTCGAAAGATATGCTTGCCTTGATGACTTTTGAAAAGACCGAGAGTTACTATCTCCTGGACCTGGAGATGTCTATGCAATACCACAGTGCCCGAGATCATAGTTCAGTGCTGTTTATATTTTATCTTCCCAACTGATTTCAGTTTCTTGTAGTGAACTTTACACATTTCTCTGATGGAATTGATGATCTCCTCGCAACATCATGGAAATTGCGAGATCTTTCCGAAGCTCTCCTCAGAGGCCTGGAAAAAGCCATCTCAAAGAATCATATTGATCCATCATACCTAGGGCACATGCTTCTGGCCACAGTCCCTCACCTTCTGGAGGCCCATCAAACATACATTGAAAAGCTGCCTATTGCTCTTAAAGATATAGACCTTGATAATCCCCACAATATCCCCCCGAAGCTGGCTAGCATCATCAATTTGCTGTCCATTCCCCTCTTCAGACTTCACCACTATCCTTCTTTGCTTGGTTATCTGCTTAGACTGATCCAAGATTCTCCTAACCCAAGCAAGCCAGGTTGTACAATGCTTATATGTGCACTGGCATTGGTTAAAGAGGCTGTAAGCCACATCAGCAATATTACAGAAAGTCTAGAGAAACCCTTGACTATTCTTTTGTCCCCAGACTTGGCGAAAAAAATTGAACTCAAGAACCCACAGCCCTTTCTGCTCCCGATGGTATATGCAGGAACTACCTATCCACAGAATTGGGTTTTACACCAGATATTATGGCATAGTGAAGCCATGTATCACAAGGACTTGGAAAGTCTTTTCAGCTGCATTGAGAGGCTCAGAGGTGAGTTTCTATTATTTGCCTCCCACTCTACTGCCTGATATCTCCCTTTCAGATGATAACAAATTGATTAGCTCTGATTTCCTATGCAATATCAAGAATCTTCAGAGCTTATCACAAGCTCTCATGCAGCCAGGACAGAGCATCATTAACAAGATTAATGCTGGCATGTTCCATGAACTTGCTAGACTATATCGTCAATATGGTCTACATTGTGCTCAAATTTCTGCAAGCATCCCCTCTCTATCCACAGAATATGAGAAATACATTCATGATCTCCTGGCTCTTCCATTGCAGAGACTTAATGACTATCAAGACTTAATAAAGTCAATTGCTGAAGTCACAGAACCCTTTGATCCAGACAGAATGATTCTCCTCTCAACAAAATCTCTGTTAGAGCATACATACAAGCTTATTAAAGCTAAACCTGACGAGGATTCAGAGGAGAATAGCCATCCCAACAGATCAGACATGCCACCAGATATTGGGTATGCAGTCAAGTTGACTCAGCAACATATAGTTGCAAATGGAGGATTTGGTTCTATTTATCAGGGAATGTATAGCAATGAATACACTAGACAGGTGAGTGGTTTAAGCCATATATCTTCTTTACTCTATTTTCTAACAAGATATAAAGGCTGTAGCAGTCAAGGTATTCATTAAAAGAGAGATAATTGATGATGAGAGATTCCAAAAGGTATGTTTGGCTATTTCATGTTATGCTTACTCAAGAAATTTTCCATTTTGTGCAGAGACTTTGCCGTGAGGTTAAAGTGTGGTGGCGACTTCAACACCCTAATATTATTCCTCTTCTTGGAATCTCCTTTGACCATGGAGAATATATGTCTATGATTTCCCCATGGATGGAAGGTGGTCCACTGAGTGGCTTTATAAAAAGCCAGGGGAACACATTGGGAATTGAGAAGAAACTCAAATTTGTATGTTCATTATCCAATGCTGATTGAAAGAAAATCTTATTGATTCTGTAGATCAATGAGATTGCTGATGGTCTTCAGTATTGTGAGTCCTGTCATTGAGCCTATGTGATACCAGACTAATTCCATGGCAGTGCATAATAATCAAATTATCCATGGTGATTTAACCACAGTGAGTTTATTAATGATATATTACATTATATCTTGATTATCAATTATTAGGCAAATGTTCTACTTGACAGCAACCAGAATGCCGTTCTTTCAGACTTTGGCATGTCATTTGTTGTGGATGAGTTTGCTAGAACATCATATATGACAACTACAATTGCTGGTCCTGGTGCATTACATTGGGCTGCACCAGAACTTGTTCCTACCTGGGAAGATATCAATTTTCAACCAAAGAAAGGGTACCCAAGTGATATCTACTCCTTTGGCAGTGTGATATACCATGTAAGTACCTTCTGATAAGGGATCATCTTATCTTACATGTAATAGATCCTCTCTGGGAATGTTCCCTTCCATGACAAGACAGATATGGAAATCTTCAATCTTGTAGTTCAGCAACGTCAGCATCCTGAAAGACCCCCACAGAAGCATGTAACTGACCCTTGTTGGGATTTCATTGTGCAATGCTGGTCTTCTAAGCAACACAATCGTCCTGGTGTTTCAGATGTTGTGAAGTTTATTATCAAAGAAAGAGTTTTGAGAGACTGTTTGTAACTACAGAATGTTGCAACTACAGCATGTAATATATAGTGATTGTTTTATTACCTTTAAGTTATAAATATTTTGATGACTATTGTGGGCAGTACTTACTGTAGTATATTATTGAATATTATATGATAGTCACAGATTACCTGAAAACCAGGACACCTACTAAATTAATGCCACTTATCTAGAATGAACGGCACAGTGGGATGGACATTCTAACATGAAGGGATGAGCTCAAATGCTTTTGAGAGGAAAAGTAAGGTGGGCAAATCCATCAAATTAATGTCCCTCATTCTCGATAGTATCATTCATGTAGGTTGTGTTACGTGTATTAGCTAATATTCTGGTATGATATACTGACCCATTTCATTCAATTAGGCCGGTCACGGTCACATCGGATTTTTTGGCCGAAATATTTCGGTGGGTCACAGGTCACAGCAAAATTCTTTGGTCCCAAAGTGTCCCAATTGGGTAAGATTTTAAATTTTCCGCGCACTAAATTTCCTAATTGGGTAATAGGTCACGCGTAATTCGGCCTGCGGCCGAATTGAACATTTCGGCCACACGGTCACAGGCCCGCTGAATTGATCGAAATAGGTCAGTAGTAGTAAGTGCTTCTAATTGATTGGAAGAATCCCCGGCTGCCTCTGGAAATCTACAACTTTAGATATTATATGTTAATTTATGAATACATAGTATTCTTGGAGGCACCGATAAAACCATAAACATTGATGACTTAGTTTTATGAATCAAATAGATCACATGGTGGCCAAACAAAAATCACCTCTTCAAGTAATATTACCGCCAGAGCAACCATATTAAAGAGGGAGGATTATAAACGCCCAGTGGGATAAACCACACTACATAGATGCCAATGCCAAGACACATGGCCAGCAGCTAAAGAGTACTTGCAGGCACAGGCCCGCGTGTGATCGACCCGCGCCGGGCCGATGAGTCCATAGATTCTCTTTTCTTTCTCTCGTCGTTTTCAGATTCAAAAGATAAGTCAGTGTGGTTCAGAACCTGAGAGCCAGCGTGGCCGTGCGGCGCTGCGAATTCAAATGCGAGCACGATCGACCCGCAGCGATGCATGCTTATCGAGGTGGACAATATTTTGGCGCGAACAGCAGTGGAGTAGTACAAGGATGCGATGCGAGCGGAACATAAATGCGGGAAAAATACGAAATACACGCCCACTAGAACTTGAAGCGGAGGGCCTCGCGGTCGGACCACGCGGCCTTCGGGGTGGGCGACGCCTGGCCATCGCCCTTGGGTCCAGAGGAGGAAGCGGTGAGGCTGATGGGCGAAGGCGTCGTGAAAGTAAAGGCGGAGTATATGTACTCGCGCTCGGGCGTGGTGAAATGCTTCTCGGGGAGAGCGGAGGTGGACGCAGCGAGTCGGGGGGATTTCTTCGATGTCGACTGCAATGAGTGATTAGAACGAATTACAGTGAAAAAAGCCGCGGACGCACCTGAGAAAACAGCCGTTCCTCCTTCTCCACATCCTTCAGTGACACCTTGCCCAGCAGCGCCGCCAAATCGACCTCCAAATTCAGGCCAAACGCGGCATCGTATGCGGCCGCGAAGTCTGTCGCGGGGATGAACTCCTCCGAGAGGCGCGGGAGGCGCTTCGGGATCTTGGACTTGCCCTTTGCGAGGTCGAGCTTGGCGCGCTTGACGGGCTGGGCATCAACGGGGCGCACAGCGAGCACGATGGGCCGGGCAACGGCGGCGCCGACAGCAGGGGCGCGGCGCTTGGCACCGGTGGGGGGCGTCTTTAGGGCCGGCGGGCACTCGCTTGCCCGTGGTCGGGTGGAGGTTCTCCTTTGCTGCGTAGGAGGGCCGCTTGACGGGGCGGCCGCGGGCAGGCACAGCTTTCGCCGTGACCGTGGTGGTGGGTGGCACAACGACGGGGGTGGCAACGACGAACGGGTCGGCGTCCGGCGCGTCGCAGTAGACGGTGAAAGAAGGCATGTAGAAGTGTAGGGTAAGGATAAGGATAAGGTAGGGTAGGGTGGGGTAGGGCGACGACAACGAGGCGGACGACGAGCCGGTGACGGGTGGCTGGCGAGCCCCGTGTAACGCGTTATATACCCTACCCCACCGACCGGTGCACCGTCCATCCCCACGAGGCCGCCGCCTATCAAAATACGCTTTGTGGGGCACAATGTGGACAATGCGGAGTTTGAACCGGCTCGTGGGGACCAATGTTCGCCGCATTAGGAAGGAGCTTCGCGCCGTCCATGGAGCGAGTGGGTGCGTAGGATGAGGTGCGCCGCTGCCAAGCGGGATGAGCGACGCGCGTGACCGTGACAGCCAGCCGATATTGATGATGTCATAAGTCTTTCAATAGGGATTTCATCACACTTTTTCTGCTCCCAAGTCTGGACTGCCCAACGTGGATGTGTTTCGTCTGACGCCAGTGCTGATAGTATAATGCTTCTGAGTATTGACCAGACCGGTGGAAGCAGAATTTCAAGTGCTTCCACTTACAGTTGAAGTCCTTAGTAGAAGTGACTCGCAGCAATTGCCCTGAGGCCTTAGCATCAGCCCTCCAGTTTGCCTAAGGCCAGTTCTGAAAAGGAAATGATTTGTAAAACAATTAATGAGCCAGAATGAATTAAACTACAGCGGCAACTCTCTTATTATTCATCTCTATAGCACTGGTGTGAAGTGTATGTGTCAGGGGAACCCCCCTTTCGGCCCGGAGATGCGTCCGATTTCCGGTTCTGACTCCGGTCCGGCCCTCCATCTCGCCCGCACAATCACCGATCCGTCAATGCCCTCCCGACGGTCACCCTGGGACCTCGCCTGCAACGCCGCCCAAGCCTTCTGTGCCCGACAGCGGCAGCTACGGACAAGCAGTATATAGTCAGCTCCCTAGCAGTCAGACCCTTAGAGTTTCTTCTCTTTGGATCCTCCCCTGCTAGGTCAGCTTCATTTGTATTTGCTTACCAATGTTCACGCTTTGGATCCTCCCCTGCTAGGACCTTGATCTTAGGCCTCCGGGGTTGCCCTTACAGCAGAAGAAACTCTCTACAGGATCAACCGGACAAGATTGCCAGGTTCGGCGCTGACTCAGGCTCGGAGTACGAGTCCGTTCCGCCCTCGTCACCGCCCCTGCCACTTGTCCCCTCCTCCTCTACTCCTGTGGTCCCCGCACCCGTCATGCCGTCCGGAGTCACTCCTACCGCAGACGCCCGGCTGGACTCACTCAAGGCGAAAATCGATAGCCTAACTGAGGCCCTTGCTTTACTCACCAACCAGGCTTCCGCTGCCGCTGCCGCTGCCGCTGCCGCTGCCGCTGCCGCCGCTAATAATGCTGGCGGACCCCAAACACCATCGCCGGAGATGTCGATTCCGACTCCGACTCCGGTTCAGGGCAACTCCGAAGCCCTTTTCGGCAACATCAACCTCGCCTCAAAATTGGTCTTGCGACCAAACCCCCCGTTCACCTTCAACGGTGACCGGAAACGCGGCCGCGCATTCCTCTACACGGTCCGTACCTACGCCCGCCTCGCCCCTGAGGCCTTTGTGGTCAACGGAGAGGCGAGCGAGGAAAAGGCCGTCCGCTATGCCATGTCGTTTATGGCAGAAGGACCCGCTCAGCAATGGGCGGAGCGCCACGGAAGCAAAGCCCCGTTTCCGTTTCCGTCTTGGGGCTCGTTCGTTTCCGAGTTTCGACTCCGGTTTGTCGAGGAGAACGAGCAAGATCACGCTCTCTCCAAGCTGGAGACTTCCACCTATCACATGGGTACAAAGGATGTCTACCAGTACACTGACGACTTCGAGGACCTGATGGACCTTGCCGGATTCGAAGACGCGTTGGTTAAGGTGACCAAGTACCGCCACGGACTTGACCCCCTGATCAACAACGGCATCACGTCTTCGAACGACCCCCCAGACCTCCGTGACTATCTGGGCTGGCGCACTCGGGCTTTCCGACAATATGAAGCCCTGGTGCGAGCGAAGCTCATTAAGGGAACGGCTACCCCGCGGACCGCTTCGGGAGCTCCGCGCGGCGCCTTCCCCATCACTCGTTCGGCAACTCCGTTCCCCATCCGCCCGGTGGCCGCACCTGCGCCACCCGCGGCCCGCGCCCCCGTCCCGGTACCTCCGGCTCCCGTCCCTATGGAGTTGGATCGTACTAGGGCTCGGGGCGCCCCTCGTCGAGCCTGCTTCAGATGCGGCGACCCCAATCACTTGGCTCGGGACTGTCCGCTCCCCGCCGATGTTCGCCATATGGACATCCTCGACGAGGTGATCCAGCAACTTGGCGATGAGATGCTGGGAGAGCTACTTGCGCGGTTGTCCGACACCGCGGCCTTAGCAGAGGCGCATTCGGAGGCTCCAGCAGAGGATTTTGTCCCCTGCGACGAGTGACTGGTGTGCCCTCGTTCGCGTCCATAAATCGTTTCACTTGTTTGTATGATGAATCAACTCCCTTGCCCTACAACGAGCCTGAAACGAAAGACGCACCCCCTGCCCCCTCCGAAGCCCCCGTTCGGATTCGCTGACTTGCCTGGGAGAAAAAGTTACCTGGCAGCTATACCATCTCTGCCGCTCCTGGGGTTAACTCGCTCCACCTTCCTCTTGAGCTTGAGTCCACTGCGAACGCGCTCAAGCTCTCCCTCTCAGGTCTGGTCGACTGCGGAGCCACTTCGGACTTTATCGACACAGAATACGTCAACCGAAACAACGTGCCAGTCCGAAATCTCTCAGTACCTGTCACGGATAAGACCCGGCCCGTCCGCTCCGGCGCTGGTGTCGGGCCATTGCGGGCCCGTAACACGCAGCACGTGACGACGGGGAACATGCGCCCCAGTAGGAGGAACGCACACGTGGGAAGCACGTGACCGAGAACGACGCGTCGAGCCGTCGCCGAGCCCAACTCGACACCAGGGGAATGGGGAGGAGTGCTAGGAGGTCAGGAGTAGCGCCTGGCCCGCAAGGGATGTGCGATCGTCCCCTCTGCGGCCAGGAACGGGAGTGAGGAGGAGGAGGAGGGGCCAGGGTGTCCGATCACCCCCTTTGCGGGCCCAGCGTATATAATGCGCGATAGTGTACCCTGTACTCTATCGCTTAGATCGTCTGAAGAACTACCTTACTCCGTGCGAGGAGACGCTATCGACTCATCGGGCCCGACACGACCCGATTCGAACCTTCGACCACCGACTACGGCAAGGGACCGAGTTCACGGGCCCTTTCGGTTTCGATCTACCCCGCCCGCCATACTTGCGGGCCCGACTATTCGTCTGTTCTGTTCCGGGCGCGCGTTCTTAGGAGAGGTCCTTGCACGGCCCGACCCGCAGTCTGACAGAATCTAAGCGATCCCCCTACACCCGCAACAGAATGGACACTACCACCGTCATCGCACTCCCGGCGTGGGCCACGATAGTGGCTATCGTCATCGCCTCCCTTGCCTACCTATACGGACGCACCCTCGAAGCCCAGCCCGTGGTCTTCAACCGCGTCCTCTACGGGAGAAAGGAGCCCGCCCTGAAGTGGGGCACCCCTAGGCGGGTCTCCTTGGACGAACACCATCGGCACATGGAACACACTTGCCCGGCCCAGGGCGCCGGGCCCGCCGCAAAGCGCCCGACGCCTCAACAACTCCCCGCCCCTCCCCGCGTACGGCCGAACCCCGATCCGAATCGTCTCGGACCGCCCCGGGCCACCGGCACACTCTGCCTGACGAAATGGGACACACCTCCCTCCGCACGAAGGCCCTGGGGGCCCGTTCTTATCTCTCTCGTAATCTGCTCTACTTAATCTGTGGCGGGGCCTCTGCCCCTAATAATAAAACTCTTTCTTCACCCATCACACAACGGACGAGCGCAAGACGAATCGATCGATTACAAAACAGCCAAAATACAAAAAAAGGGGAAAAAAACACGCAGACCAAAAACAAACACGATACGGTCCGAATCACCACGGGGGCGCCCTACGGGAGGGGGCCGACTGGACAGAGCGCGCGAACAATGACAGCAAAACAAAAGGAGGAGGATACCCGAACGCCGCGACCCAAGTAGACGGGGAACTCCGGCCGAGGTCGCCGAAAGACGACGAACGACCCGCCGAAGCCTAATCCAGGTCCATCATGTCGAAGCTCAGGCCGTCCTGACGGCACACATTCGCATATACCTCTCGTTCAGCGGCCCGACGCTCTAAACCCTCCGGCGTTTCCCAGAATCCCGACCTCTCTCCTTCGGACGGGTGGATAGCCAGAAGAATGGCGCCCAGATAGCGGCACACGCCGGGCGACGTCCCCGCGAGGCGGTCAGGGACTCCAGCGAGTTCACCAACCGGAGGTCTGCATCCAGGGAACGCATCGACGACAACTCCGCGAGTGCGCGGGTCCGAGCATCCGGGAAGCCCCCGTCGGCCGAATGAACCGCCGACTGTTGCAGCAACAGCACGCCCAACGGAGACAAGCGCTGATCGGCGGGTACCGACGGGTCCCCATGCAACCGGCGAGACTCGGCAATGGCCCGATCCAAGTCCCATCCCCTCCCGAACCACAGGGAGACTCGAGGGAACGAAGGCACCTGGAAACCCATGGTGGGATAAGAAAGAGGGTGGGTCTCACCCGCAGGGGACGGATGGCCGGGACGAGGCCTCTCCTAACGAGCGATTCGCGACAGGGGAGGCCGGCCGGCGGAAAGTGGGGGGGCCTCGGCGGGGGCCGACTTGACGATGGTGGGGGAGACGGCGAGCGGGTGCGAACTTCGTTTTCGCACGGGGACGGGGAGGAGTCCCGAGAAGACGCTGACGAAAGGACGACCGGGGGCGACGACGGCCCGAAGAAGGCCCGACCGTCGGGGTTGGGCTCCGCCCGAACCGATCCTCGTTTGATCGGGGCAAATAGGAGAACAAGAAGGACCGGTACGGGACCGATGCGGACAGCCCGACTAGATCAGCGGCGGGGATCGGGACGTAGCAGCGCAAACTCGCCATCCTCGACTTGACGCTCCCAAAACTCGAAGGAAAAATCGTGCAGAGCCGCGGAGCGAGCCTTGTACGCATCTGCAAAAGACCGCCAGCGCAGACAAGCACGATGGAGCGGGCTACACGCGTCACAAGCCCGACGCACGGGACCAGGGAGTTTCTGGGGAGAACTGTCTGGGGCGCCCCACACGGTGCACAAGCGATCATGAGCGATGCAATACTCGCAGCGAGGGGAGAGGGATCGGATCACGGTCCCCGGGCGACGGGGGGGC